CGTGCCCGCCGTGTCCTCCGGTTCCTACGCCCCTGTTGCTATATATTCGACAGTAATGGAATTCTGGCCTATAAACCGCAAAAGGAAAATAGCATAGACTAATCGACTCGAGCTGTGCTTCCTGTATATCTCAATTTATTCTTTTTATATTGAACTTTCGCAGATCGGCAAGAATGCAGCAGTTATACATTGCTTAATAACCAAGATCGCAACATAAAGTACAGAAGTGGTAGCAGTTCGTTGTTGTGTGACAGTAGTATTTCAACCGGATGGTACAGATTTGGTGGTGATGCTGGAACTCAGTTGTCTACTACTTGTATTCCGAGAAAACAAGACTTCAACAATTTAAAATGTCGTACTCATGTTGTTTCATGGTTGAATGGCACTCATCCATCTGTCAGTGATGGAAAAGTCACACGCAGGGTGTGCTTCAGTTGGGATGGAAGATGTTGTTATGCGACAAGTGTTGCGAATTTGAAGACATATATCGAAGTGATCAACTGTGGATATTTTTATATCTACAAACTGGTCCCTCCACCCAGTTGCTCTTACAGATACTGTGGAACTGACGTGTGAATTCTAAAGTGAAACCAGGTCTCAAACCTTTTCTTAAAATTGATTGGGTTATTGTAATATTATCATTATACTATTATATTCTATATTTTAACAGGTTAACTTGTTCAGCTGTTGAGTTCAATGGCTGGTATCCCACAAGGACCCGTGTTTACAAATAATATACTAATATAAAAACTCTATTAGAAAAATATCTCTATAGGAAGTCAAATTATGTCAATATTCATAGTTCAAAGCTGCTAAAAATGTTTTACATGCATATAAAAAATATTTGTGCAAATGCTTTAAATTTTGTTTAAAAATAACAACAGATTTTTCGGTCTTTAGTTCTTTCGGAAGTTTGTTAAACAACAAACGTCACGTCCTTGAAATTTGAAGGTCTCACTTCCTACTTCAGTTTTTACTCTTGGAATAACCAAAGAGCAGCCATCCCCTCTTGTGTTCTTTCCATGTTCGAGAACTTTCAAATAGGTATGGTATTCGGTGGCCGAGACACACATAGTATAGATTTATGCACATCTATCATGCAGGATCTGCTCGTCAATGACATCGGCAATTTGTTTCCATTCTGTTGTCACTACCTTCGGGCACACGATACGCTTTCCTCGGTCCTGGATTGCCTGAAGTTTGTCTATATCTGGTAGTTTGGAAGTCCCAGGTGAACAGTTGGGCAATATGTTGCTATAGGCTGAATCATGCTGTGGTACACTTTTCCAGCTATAGCAGACGTTAGATTTGGTCTAATGCGTTTCAGTAACTTTAGCCTCGAGGATGCCTTTTTAGTGTGAAGTTTCTTCGAAACTTCACAGTATTGTGATGGTGGGGAAAAATTCAAACGAAACAGTCAGTCATTCAGTCATTCAGTCATACAGTAAACTTTCCGGGGGGCGTGTACGATTTATGTTCGTAGTGATTTATTGTGCTTAGTCAGTACTTTGAAGGTTATTTAGGCAATTTCAGTTAACTTATTTACATATTCTGTTATCCTTTTACCAAGTTCACAAAAATTTCGAGCAATCGCTTTCGTTATTGTAATTCTTTGTGAATTTTAGAACTTTCGCTTCTCATGTTGTGTAAAGGATCTTTACCCCGGAACACCCGATTTTTCTTTAGTAGCGCAAATGCGCATGCGCTATCAAGCCGTAGAACACGATGGCGTGACGATATGCCAACCTCGTACCCAGGGCCTTTGCGCGGTTCAGAGGCTCTGGTACGGGAAGCAAAGGCCCTGGTAAACACTGGTCATGTGACTCCAAAAATATTGGACATTTCGTAATAATTTAGTTTTCAATCCGGGGGGAGCGGAGCCGATTG